GGAATCAGCAAGCTCTGGAACATTCCTGAACCTCAGTTATGATGGGACTGGAACACAGAGTGGAAAGCAGACACCCAGAATCTCACACCTCCCTGCCTCCCTCGTTCTGTGTTTAAAACAGTTTGTTCTACATCTGAAGAGCGGTGAGCATGGGGTGGGAAATGCTTTTGCTTCAGAACCAAAGTGGGTGTCTGAAATCTGTTCCTCTCCCCCGGCTGCACGCTGCTGAGGAAGCCGGTGCCAGAGGTGGCCAGGATGATCTGTAGAATCCAAAAAGGGCAGGCTGAGTGATGGCAGGAGGAGGTATGTGCAGTATGGACTGCCTCTGCTGTCCAGGTAGGAATCGGGAAGAATGTACAAGGCCTTCAAACAAAGGACCATTTGGCATATCAGATGCCCAGCCTCGGGAGTGTGGCCAGATACCCCCATCACCTCCTACCGGTCCATAAATGCACCTTAGAAAATCCCAAAGCTAAATGGTAGCCTCTTCAGTGCCTCGCTGTGCAATTATGTTTTGCAGATAACTTCTTGCTTTCATCCCTCTGAGGGGTATACACTTCCCTAGTCCACAGTGGTTTTGGAAGTTTAAGTTTCAGAGGCCAATGGAAATGAAAGTGGTGTAGGGTAACTGCATGAGGGCTATAAAGGACATTAGCGATGGTTTCTCTCCAAAGCGTGACTCATCCCTGTCAGGAAAGACAACAGTTCCTTCCCCTCTCCTTGCAACCTCCTTGGGCTCAGAGTGAATGGGCTGCTTTGAGGAGGGGAGGAGGGAATGTGAAACCAGCACATCAGTAGACCTGGAGATACCATTTCTGAAAGGTGAGGATCCCCCTAGGTTTCTGGCATTGTCCATGGAGGCTGGAGAACAGAGGATGGGGAGAGGAGTCCCTAACTGTTGGAGGCAGGCATGGATAGATGAGCCTCTTACCCCTTCCAGTTCACCCCATCCTCACAGCAACCCAGTGGGATGGTGTTCATGATTCCCACTTCATAGGCAACAAATCTCAGACCCAGAAAGGTTGGGTTGTCACCCATGGTCGCCTGGCTAGTTCATGCCGAGGCAGGGCTTGAACTCAGGTCCGACAGACCCCAGAGCCCATGAGATTTCAGTTGTGAAATTTGGCTGGTGTGCATGAAGGCATAGGCTAGAGAGTCTAAACTGAACGTCTAGGGGAGCCAGTGATGACTACAGAGGAGAAGAGTGGCATAGTGAAAGCAGTATTTCAGGACTTTAGATCAGGCAACCATGAACGAGGTGAGTTATTGAGATGCTCGAGTCCTCTTTTGGGTGTGTGGGGTGTGGGTGGAATAAGCCCCTGAAGTGAGACACCAAGAGTCCTGAACCAGGGTAGGTGGGAGAAATAACAGTGACGTACACATGTCGAGCACTTGATACCTGATGGGTACTGCACTGGATGCTTTCACACAGAGGGATCATTTGATCCTTACAACTTGATGAGGAAGTGCTGTCATTGACAGCAGGGCAGTGAGGGGTGAAAAGCTCGGAATTTTGAAGGCAGGCAAACCTGATTCACTACCTGTGTGACCCTGAAAAGGTCATTCTACCTCAGAGTCTGTTTCTTCATTGGTGAAATGGGGATAATACTAGTACCAGTTTAGGAAGATGGTAGGGGATGGAATTAAATGAGATACTACTTAGAAAATGTTAAGCCGCATGACTCTCATAGAGTGAGCACTTCTGGCATGTTACTAACTAGTGTAATTCTCACCATTGCCATACCCATTGCACAGATTTGAAAACTGAGGCTTGGAAAGGTGAAGTGATATTTCCCAAGTCCACACAACTAGGATTGGCACCTGGGCAGAAGGTACACTGTTATCCATTCTGGGGAGAAGAAATTAATGGGGATCAGAACAGGTAACAGGAGACAGTCAGCTTGGGCTAAAGCATTACAAGGAAGGGCAGTGGGACGGTACAAGGCGAGGGATTTGCACACATTCTTTCACAGATGGCATGTGCCAAGGCAGCTCTTGGCTAATGAACAGCTGTCCCTATAATTATCTTTCTCCTTCATGAAGTTTGCAAACAGCTATGCTCTTCTTTCTCTACGTGGAGAGCCAGATAATGCTGTGTTAGCTTACAGCTCTGCTCTGTGCTCATGGACACAGGTCATGGATATAATAATGTCTAACTCATAGTGCATACAGCAGTGGTGTCGGAACGTCCCTAACACCCCCAACTCCCACATCGAGCTCCATATTTGACCTCCACCTCTGCACCAATACCGGTTATCCCAAGAAAGAGTATGTGCGTGTATGGGTGTAGGTTGGCTCAGAGATCCTTTTTATTGGGTTCCAACTGTGCCCTTAGCATATGTCCACCTGAGAACCCTCTCCGTTCTTCATGCACTCAGTGCAAGAAGCTCTCGTTGCCTTTGGCAGTCATGATGCAGCTCTGGTGACCAGCTTTCTCAGAGACATCTTTGCTCCTTGGGAATTATTTTGTTTCTTTTTAAGTAAGTGTGGAACTTTGCAGTGCCATCCCAAGAGGCACCTGACGATGCATGAGGTCGATGAATATAACTGCCTTGAAACTTCACTTGTGTGCCTTCTTCTGTTGATGGGTTCTTTATATTGTTGCCTTTTAGGGGTATTTAATGAGGTTCTACGGGGAGGTGTTGAGGCTTTTGCACTTCTATAAGCTCCTCCTTATCGATAAAGGACACGCTAAATATGTGTTGGGCATTGGATGGAAGAGTGGTTCCTCAGCTTAAGTAGGATGATGATGTTGAAAGTTTTTATTTTTTGGACGTGACATTTGAGAGCCATGCAAAATACAATCTCAGGTACTGAATTCTCCCCTTTTCGCTTTGTGTTTAAACCAAGGACATTTCTCTAGGCTTTATTCATGCATTCATTCACTTGTGCATTTCCCCAGCCTCCATCTACTGCTGTGTCGTGTGGACAGAGGGGAGAGGGCAGCAAAATCTCTGCCCTTGAGCAATTCACAGTCTTGTTGAGGCATGATTTAAAGTGATTAATCAATCCAAGAATATTGGATTTCTCCAAAAGCTACTGTAGGGAAAAAGATAATTATCCAGTCTTTAAGTCTGTTACCCAATTTAATTGATTTAATTAGGTAAAAATTCATAGAACTGTAATGTTGGAAGGGGCCCAGACGTCATGTATTCCTGTTGGGTTTTTTTTGTCTCTGCCTTCAGGCCACACTGCACTCAAATTATCCCCCAAACCCCATGCATTTTAGAAAAGGGAAGTATTTCTAAGAACTATAGCTTTTAGCCCTTTCAGATAAACCTTTCTATTCAGTGAGCATCCACTGGGGAAATTATGCAGACTTGCTGAAGAAGTTGACATGCACAGCTTCAGAATATTGTTCTGAAAGACACGAATGGGATCATCCACTCTTCACACACACACATACACACACGAGATGGAATCCCTATATCTGCCCTGTTGAGGTTGTACTAAATGTGCATGGCGAATACGGAATGCAAAATGAAAGCAATATGAGGACCCCTTGAGAATTCTTTCAGTTCCCAGAAAAAGATAGATCTCAGCATTTATCAAATCCTGTTTTGCTGTAACACAGAGCCACACCTTCTGTTTAGTTGGCATTTTTGCGCCATGCCAGTCGGTCAGTGACGTGGTTTAAGGGTCTACTCATGCAGGTCTTCAGTGATCCTGAGAAGGCTGTGGTGGTGTGTTGGAAGGGGGGCTGGAAGTGGAATCAGAACGTGAGTTCGGATGCTGACTAGCTGTGGGACCATCTCGAGCCTCATTTTCCCCTGCCAACAATATCAGCTTCGTAGGATCATCACAGAGATTTGACAAGTTGAGGGGTGTGAAGGTAGTTTGGAAATGGTACCACTTTGTGCATCACCTGCTTTTTTCTAAATGAAAATTTGTTCTCATGATCAGACCATGACTTGGGGAGATGTTTGGACTTTTGGAGGGCCTTTAACCCAACAGAGCTTACCCTGTCACTTTGCAGTGTGAGAGCATTCAGCGGCTCACCCCGATGCTCAGAATAAGGTGTCCCATAGCTCCTGGGGCCATACATGATGGGGTTTCTGCCAAGCTCTTCCATGTTGTCTCATCCCCCTACATCACAGACCATGATGCATTTGTCTCCAGTTCCTGGAACAGTCAAGGCGTATCCTCAGGGCTCCTCTGACTCTAGGGTCCCCCCACTTCCCCTAATCTGTACCTGGATCCCCTTCTGACTCTCTCTTCAACATCCCCTTCTGCCTCTCTCAGCTCCCAGTCCAGAGATGTTGCTCTTCCTCGCATTCCTTCCAGATCTGTGAAAGCAGAGACCACGTCTGTCTGTCTTAACATCATTCCCACAAGCTCTCACACTGTTGCCACACAATTAGGTGTTCAACGAATACTTGTTGGCTGAACAGACAGATGTCCACCTAGCATTTATCATACTCTGTGTGACACAGGAATCTAGAGTTCAAGTGACAGAAATCCTACTCACATTAGCTTAATCAAACATGGGAACTTGTTGGCTTACATAACCAACAGGTCCAGAGTAAATGGCTCCAGTCATGGCTGACTCCACCTGCTCCAAGGATGTCATCAGGAGTCTCCCTCTATCTCCTGAAGTCGTTTTGTTTCTGTCGGCTTCATTTCCCAGTCCTGAGTCTGGGGGCCGGATTGAGTTTGTTCTATTGGAACAATTTGGACCCCAAATGGGGGTGGGCGGTGGTGGGACGAAGTAGAGGAAAATGAAAGGAAGAGATGATGGGCTGAGAAAATAACAGATGTCCCTCACTGTTCCGGGCTGTGGGTTCCAAGTTCAGGGCCCACTCTCATCTCTGCCTTTCCAGGGTCTGTTCCAGAGTCTGGCATATAGTAGGTGCTCAGGAATGTTGGTGAGTGAGCAGATGTGGGGTTTATTTTCCCTCCCGTCTAGGAAGGAGCTTCTTTATGCCTATAAAGACAGATGGCTGTATGTCAGCTGCCCTCTGCCTCATCCTCTGCTTTGCTTTCTTTTTACCTGTTGGCAGGATCCAACGTCCACCTTCTTCCAATTCGGAGCGTCCATCCAGCAGCAAGCCACGGTCATGCTGAAGATCATGCAGGATTACGACTGGCATGTCTTCTCCCTGGTGACCACCATCTTCCCTGGCTACCGGGACTTCATCAGCTTCATCAAGACCACAGTGGACAACAGCTTCGTGGGCTGGGACATGCAGAACGTGATCACACTGGACACGTCCTTCGAGGATGCAAAGACGCAAGTCCAGCTGAAGAAGATCCACTCCTCCGTCATCTTGCTCTACTGTTCCAAAGACGAGGCCGTCCTCATCCTGAGCGAGGCCCGCTCCCTCGGCCTCACCGGGTACGATTTCTTCTGGATTGTCCCCAGCTTGGTCTCAGGAAACACCGAGCTCATCCCCAAAGAGTTTCCATCGGGGCTCATTTCGGTCTCCTACGATGACTGGGACTACAGCCTGGAGGCCAGAGTGAGGGACGGCCTGGGCATCCTGACCACCGCCGCGTCTTCCATGCTGGAGAAGTTCTCCTATATCCCCGAGACCAAGGCCAGCTGCTACGGGCAGGCGGAGAAGCCAGAGGCCCCACCGCACACGCTGCACCAGTAAGAGTGGGCTCTTTGCTTGTCTCCCAAAGTGGGATCAGTTTTGTTGTTTGTTTACATACTAAGAGTACTAACGTAGTCGTTGCTGAAAACGTCCCCTGAAAATAGATCATGTGGTGTGTGTGGCCGTGGGATTTGTTTGTCTGATTCTGTTCTCTCCCCTCTTTCCCTTTTCTCACCTCCTTTTGTTTTTAAGTAACGTGATCCTTGGTTTTCTGCAACTTAATTTTTCTACCCAGCAACATACCTTGGAAACCTGTATTTGAGACCTGTTTGTCTGTCTGTCTATCCATCCATCCATCCTCTAGATATAGCTATGTCTTAAGTATGTATGTGTGTATGTATAGCTATATGTATGTATGTACACATGTATGAATATATGTAGATATAGGTATATGCACATATGAACACATACATGTGAACACGCACAGATATATAGGCACATGTGGATATGCACGTTTGCATTTGTATATAAATATATATGAATATCTACATGTTTTTGTAACCTACACATTGCATTCCTCAATAGAAGTATACCATGATTTATGTATCCAGTCTTCATAATAATAGAAATTTACATTGTTTCAGATTTTTTTTCCACATTAGAAACTAAGCTGCAGTGATAACCATCCTTACCTGTCTCTGTGCATATGTGCGAGTATTTTTCTAGGGTTGATTCTAAGGGGTAGAAATCTGCAGTCAAGGAACATGTGCATGTAAAACTTAAGTATCTACTGCCAGATTGTCCTACAGAGTAACTATACGATGTGTCATTCACACTAGCCGTTTGTGAAATCACCTGACTTCCCACATCCTCACCAACATTGGTACGCTTTGGGAGAAGTGCTCGCCCTGGTACTCCTAGACTGAGTCTGTATCTGAACGTCTTCCCTTCTTACGTCCGAAGTGTTTTTGTAGGTCGTTGGAAATCTTGGCAAACATCACTTTTAAAGCTGCATTGTATTTCATGTCATGGATGTATCATACTTTAGTTAACTACTCCCATCTTGGTGGACATTCAAGTTAAATTTTATGTTTCTGAGAAGTGTCATTTTCTTTGTGGGACATCATTATGGCTCAGCTGTTGAGATTTAGATCAGTCACTCCTACACCCATTTTGCCTGTTTTTGCCTGATGTTCGCCGATTTAATCCACGCTCATTCCTCAGATAATGAGCAGGGTAACACTGTGATTAGGGGACTGGGCTGCGGAGTGAGACTTCCCAGGGTTCAAATCTTGTCTCTTCCACTTTTCACGTGACTCGGACCATCATTTTACCTTTCTGGGCCGCTGTTGTTCATTGCAAAGTGCCGACAATGACACTACTTTCTAGGCGGTGGTTCTCCCTCTTCAACGTGCACCAGAATCACTGGGAGGGCTTGTTAAAGCAAGATGGCTGTGCCCCACGCGCAGAGATGCTGATTTAGCAGCTCTGGAGGGGGCTCCAGGAATACGCAGTTCTAACAGATTCCTGAGTGATGCAGATGTTGCTGGTCTGGGGAACATGCCCTGGGAACCGATGTCCCGGGGGTTGTTATGAGTATTAAATGAGATGATGCATGAAAAGTGCCGCTCAGCCCAGGTACCTTGCACCTGGGAATTATTTAGTGACTGTCAGAGTGAACAGTGAAATTGCTCATCAGAAATTACAGTCAGCAAACCAGGTTAATTTATAATCAACAGAATAGCATGTCACTCTAAAATGTTTCTGGAAGGTTTTAGGACTTTGAGTATGCTACAGTTCAGGGATTATCTCTGATCTGGGGCTAGGGGTGTGTAGGTGTGTGTGAGTGTGTGTGTGTGATGGGGGTGTTTTAAAGATTTTATCTGAAATTGATGTTTACCTGAAAAGTGAAATCTTGAATTAAGAAATCATGGTCCTTTGAGGTTTTCCCTTCACCTCTCCTCTTCCCCTCTTTAATGATCTTGTTTCTACACTGCTTCTTTCAGCACTTGAAATAATTGTCCAGATATCAGGAAGGAACTCAAAAAAATTGGTGCGATGCACAGGAGCGTCTTACAGAGGTAGGGCTGCTGCCAGCCCAGAGATGAGGGCTGAGCTAATGAATTCTCACTTCCCATAATAAGTGCCCTGAAGCTGGAATATTGAGAAATGTCTGATTTTAATAGAAACATAACTCAATTGTAGGGCAATTGAAATACAATATATACAAGGAAAAGGAATTTGAGAAGGCTGAATGGCAAGACATTCAGATCTCTTTCCAGTGACCACCCTGAATTCCATTCCTTAAAAAAAAAACCCTACTGCTGTGAGATGCTGGTGTGCTATCTCCAGGAGTTACACTTTGAATGCAGCAATTTTGTAGATGGTATTTCAGCCCCAGAGAAGTAATGCATTGAGTGTGGTAAGCTGTTATCCACTGCCCGGTGTTTAATGAAACGCCGCTCCATCCGTGGAGTGCTGGTGGTGCCCATAGTGTGTGTGGCTGGATGATGGCACAAACAGTGGGTCCTTGCCACACTGCCCCACTATCACAGCGTTTCTTAAACCCACCCAGGAAAGAATGGGACCTTGCCAGATGAGGCAAATATGAGGAACTGGAGAAAGCCTAAAGAAAGCAGTTTTTAAGAAAAGGATTAAGTATCTTTCCATCCTCCCTCCATCGCTCCTTCCATCCAGTGAACCCTGTGCCAGCCTCTGGAATCATACATGAATTAAGATATAACTTATCTCCTCAAAGAAGGTGCAGTCTGGTGAAGATGGGGGAAATTTGTCTAAAGACAAACTCAGGTAACGAGGACTGTCTTTTAATATAGAAGAATAAAAAAGAATAGTGCTGAAAAGTACAGAGTCTGTTTAAACATCCACCCCCATACTCACCACAGAGAACAAAGTGAACATGTCATATTTGTTTCAAAATTTTGAAAGAAATAAAATGATCACTGCTACTGTAGAAGTCCCGATTATGCCCCTCCCTTTCTCTCTGTGGAAGGGGAAAACACTATGCTGAATTTGGCTTGTGTGCAAAGCCGAGTGCATGTTTCATACTTTCAATATAGATTTATGTGCAACCTTAGACCCAAAGGGTAGTTCTTTTTAATATACATAAATGGTATCTGACGTGTTAGAATTCCCTTTACCTCAGCCTTATGATTCAAGCGTGATCTATGAGGACACATGCAATTCTAGTGTATTCATCTTAGTTGCTTTTTTGTATTCCATTGTGTGGGTTCCATCTTTTATTTAACCATCCCCCTTTGATGGACATGTAGGTTGTTAACGGTAAAGGATCTTCAGTCTGGGTAGCTGAAGGCAGAGAGTGCGCGCTGTCTTTAACCTGACGTGGACCCATCAGCTTGTTCAAGGCAAGCCCACGACTCCAGAGCTAGGAGTTCTCACTTGGAGCTTTAAAAGTGACATTTTCAGCTAGATAGAGAAGCCTTATTTTGCAAAGAATCCAGTAAACAAACAGTTCTCTTTACTCCCACTATGTAGTAAGGAGGATGCAGAGAGCTTTAGAAGCGGTTCAGATGAAGTCACCCCGGATGGTTTCATGGTGAGTCACTAGGGTTCAGGGATCCCGCTTTGACTGGCTGAGTCTGACGTCTCGGGGTGTCCGTTGGTGGTCCTCATGGACGTTATCTGTAATCTTACACCCGGAACTTGTGGGGTTAGGATACTGTCACAACGGTTTACTGATCGCAGTGCTGGACCATGGACTAGTTGCTGGGTTAATGATCCTACCCATGGACCCATGTCTGTCCTTGTTTCAGAAAAAAAAAAAGTGGGGAAAAGGGGGAGTGTTCTTTGTGTTTAATATTCCTGGTTTTACAGAAGGCACTTTGAAAAGAGCAGTCAGCGTTTTCCAAAGTTCAAAAATAGCTCAGCCATGTTATGTAACCTCCTCCTTGCTACTGCAAAGTTATTAAACATCTGTTCCTTCGCCAAGCACAGAGCACATCGCTGGCAACTCCTGGAACTGGGAAGGTAAACCATTACCTGTTTCACTGGCACAGAACCTCGGCCGCTCTGCCCAGTTCTGTCCTGAGAGTCTGTCTGGTTCGCTAGTAGATGGGGTCCTCCGGGGGCAGCACGGCATTGCGGTTAAAAGCGTGGGCACTGGAGGCAGGCTGCCTGGTTTAATCCCTGATCTGAACCCTCCTAGATCTAAGGAGAGTGACTTGGGCAAGACAATTTGATTCCTCCAAGTCTGCTCCCTCAGATGTAACACGGGGATAAGAAAAGTTTTGTCTCTGAGCCTAGAGCCTGATGTATGGGAAGCAGTCTATAAATGGTGACTATTATTGGTAAACCGTGTTTGCACATTCTTGTGTTTCCTCTTCCACTTTGAAGGGGACACATTTTACATTTATTGAGGAAGAGGTCATAGGAGGGAGAAGGTGGATGTTTTTTTATATACCTAAATGCTTTTGCCAAAAGATTACCTTAGGAGGAACGTGGCCAGGGGGAAGAAAGGCATAGAGAAAAGTTCACGGGCTGGGTAACTGCCAACTTGGTTTTGAATCAGCCACATATTTACCAGGCATAACTTGCTAACCACTCTGAACTCAGGTTTTGTTTCTTTTTCTAAAATGCCTGTGTGTGTGGTGGTAGTGGGGAGAGTCATTTCTCCACAGTGTAGCAGAATTAAATGAAAGCATATAGGTAAAACACTTATCATTGTGTGCGGCATGTAGTAGACATTTCACAAGTAACTGTAAAGTCCTTATTGTCTTCGTCTTGTGATGATCAGCATCATGATCATTATTATCACTGTGATTTATATTTGTCATACTGCAAGCTGTACATAGACAGGGAATTGAGAAGTGTGGAAGGGTAATTCAATCTTGTTTTTTTAACCGATTAAATTACGACTCTGTGTCCCTTGGCTCCCGTTTCAGTTAGGGGAGGAGGCTGTGGAGAAGTCACTGCATTGGAAATAGAACAGAAGCGCTCATGTAAATCTACAGCCCAGAGCAGCGAAAAAAAGAACATCTTCTCTCAGGAGAGTTATGAATTAGTACTGAAGGGAAGTTAT